GAGAAGTGTACATCACGCGACACTCTGTCTGCCTATTCGAATGCACGCCACGTCCTCTTGCGGAGATGCACGAGAAGCTCGCACGGACGCGCCGTGGTCCTCACCATGGCCCACACCGCAGCCACGGGCCGCTCCGCTGGCAGTGAAAATGCATCACATACCATACACGAAGATAGCACACACGGCCGAAGGGACTCTCAGCCGACGGGGGGTGTTGCCCACCTGGGGCACAACCCGGGGCTCCGCGAAGAGAAACGGGGGAGGGTGCGGCGCCCAGCTCGGGGTGAGCACCGACTATGGGAACGCCAAGGGCGGGGCGGACGCCACTACACGGACCAGAGTCTGGCCTTGAGTGCTGGGCGTAGCGGCGAGGCCCCACATGGGACGCGTGGATTCGTGCCGTGCCAGAGGAAAACACTACCACAGACACACGGCCGCCTCTGCGATTAGGCATCATGACGCAACCGTGGACATCGTCTCGGTATCCGTGGACATGTCCGGCCCTGTCCGCGCGGTCCAAGCCAGATCTCCAGAACACAAACAGCCATCGTGGCCCACTTCTCGCGCGGCACGCAATCTGTGACCAAGTCAGGACGTGGCGCGCGCCGCGAGGCGCCGTAGGTGACGCACGGGCCCGCTTCCCTTCGGCCGTCACCGTCCCGGTATCCGCCGCAAGTCGAAGATCATACCATCCAAATGCCCCCCCCCCCCCCCCCGCCAACAGTGGCCGATGGACCACTCCGAACGGCTCTGCCGCGCCGGGCGGCCGGCTAACTGCCCCGACTCCCAGCCGCAGGAACACTCTGGTAGCGGCGTGGTAGCAGTGCGCTGCGTCTGCCTACACCAGCGGCTCGTCGTCCGAGAAGCCGCCGACGACCGCCACCGCGCTGGTAGGGCCACCACCGTACAGCAGACACTTTCTGCAATGCCTAATGCCACGCGAAACAAGCAAGGAAAGGAGCACCACCTCACTACTGGGAGCGTGCTCGGCTGGCTGGGCGGCACAACCTACCCGCCGGCCGGTGACCCGTGGTCGCGCCGTCGAAGCGTGGCCTACCGCCGGCCGGCGTCGTCCGCCGGCGCCGTCCGCCGCCGCTGGCGCTGACCCCGACCCCGACCCTGTCATGTAATTGTCTGTTGCCCAGCGGGTGCTTGGGCATCAGGCAGGTCCCGAAGGATGGTACGTTTCCACGCGCTCGGGTCGATTTGAACTACTTTCGGAGGTTTTTCAAAAATACCTTTCGAACAACGTAATGAAGCCGCATGCAATTATGCATAGCTGCGAGCAGGGCCGACATTTTAGGATCTAAAAGACATATGCGCATGGGGCCGCAGTTGAAATGGTCATGACTAGGGTTGGGCACATTTTAGCCACCAGCGTGCGTTTAACTGCGAATTGAGCGATGATCCAACACGCATTGGAAGCGCATCAGCGAAAGCGTCCTCTTAATGTATTATTCCATGAGTAAATCTTTCGGACGTCTGCACTATCGATATCCAACTGATTCTGACGTCCCGTGGCGGGGCAGGCCCGTAGTATCTTGGCACCGCCTTTGCAAATGCAGCCCTCTCGGCCGGCGGTGAGGTCATGTGGTTATGACGTCCGCACCCAACACTAAATAGTCCGAGGATATAAGCAGGCAAGGGGATTATGCCGGCGCTCTAGGGTGGCCATGACTGGGACAGCGAGCAGAGCTGCTTCGGCCACCCGTGTTGGAACACAGCAGGCGCTGTGGACTTTGGCGCGGACTGATAGTTTATGAAGGCAGCATTTTAGCAGATTTGATGAATGTGGGGAAACGCGGATTATGCATGCTATACTATCGATACACATGCGTCAGTAGTGACACACGGCTCGCTTACATTAAAACAAAACAAGTTTGCGGAGTTATAAGGTTGCTCACAACTTTAGATTATGTCACAAAAATTATCAAGTAACGACACCAAAGTGCCCGTACAACCTAAAACGTAGGCAAGGCCACGAACATTGCGTCAACTCGCCAAAATGAACAGACAATGACATTCGCATTGCTGTTACCTTACAGCACCTCTATCAACGATGACAACATAAGCCATTGCAGGCGCGCGCACACACACACACACACACAACATCAAAACGAACAGTGCGCCAAATGCGTGAACAAAAGTCCCCGCATGAGCCGTTAGGTTATGATGAAAAAGGTCACGCCCGCCCATTTGGGCATTTTGACGCAGCTCCGTCAAACTTACCTGACAGTTGAAGTTCAGTAGTTTCTCTGGTATCCATGAAATGGTGTGCACATATATATATATATATATATATATATATATATATATATATATATATATATATATATGGCTTAACCACATCTATCAATATGAAATATCATCAATATGAAATATATGACTAGCGCTACATGAAAATACGTGATGGAGCGGGTCATTCGTTTTCACATGCGAGCACAAACCAGCAGGAGTTGAGCTGATTTATGTTTGTTCATGTGCGTACTAGAGCGTGATAAGATAACTCGTTGCGATTACAACGCCCTACATAAGATCCATATATGAAGGTCGATTGTTCAAAGTTTAGCATATCATGCCGAAATAAAAGTTAGGGAGGTATTTAATGTCAAAGTGATCCCACTAAACTGTTGGTTCGTCCGGCACAGGAACGGAAAAGACGACTGAGAACATTGCACATGCATAAATAGTTAATAAGCAGACTCTTACCATGCCCCAAAATGAATGGACCGTTCATGGGTAGGTGGCACGGCCTCTTGGTCGTTTCCCGCGGCACTTATTATTTCGAAGCTGATTCTGCTATCAACAGCGCTCTCGACGTCAGCGTGCGTCATGACATTGCGCGTTAGATACCGGACATCCGTCAGGTCCCGAGCCCCACGGCCGAGGCGCACTCCATGTTCATTTAGCCCCCAATTTCGCTCTCGGTGTGATGGCAGGCCACGTCTGATGCTCACTCGCAGCTTTCCTCCTGCAAGACTACTGAGCCCTACTCGAATCCATTTTACGGTTTCAGGTAACGGCCTGTGGCCCAACCGATGGCTCCAGGTAATAAGAGCCGCCCCAACGGTCACTGTCCAGGAGGCCTCACGTCTCCGATGGGTCACGGTGCGGGGCGAGGCTCGGCAGTGAAGGTCTGCCAGATGGTCGCAGCTTTGCCCCAGCACCCGTCTCTCTCCTTAACTCCCATTTGGCAGAAATATCACTTACTAGCGGAAAGGGCTTTCAACCAAACCAAGCGTCCACAAAACGCACCATGGCCCTCCGGAGAAACCGAGGGCACGTTTTGGAAATAATGGGTGGGTGCGGGAGTGGAGGGGGAGGGGGGGATATTAGGTTGGTCTCCATGCTAAGGTTCCATAACATACACACGAGGTACATCCGGCCATGGACGGTAAGCGTATGTGCGCCTATGCCTACATCTTAACAACAAAACTAATGAAGGCCGACACCAGACACCGGCGGCCGAAACAAGAACATATCGCTACAGAAAAAAACAACAAAAAACAAACACTTTCAAGCCTAGAATGTAGGATCGTGACGATGGCCACGCGCGACATATCTCAGATCCCAACTCCTTTATAAGATACGTCAATCTAGTGACAGACGCGTCGGATGGCAGTTCACTGTTATTGGCGTATGCAGCCGTGGTCTGATACAACGGTAATAAGTACAACAGGTCACATGTTCTGACTCCGACGACACGGTTACGACATTACACCGTCTTCTCCGCGCGCCACGCATGACAACTGCGAACAGCAGCCTTTCCCAATCGAGAACAATGATCCTGATTCAGACGTTTTTGCCGCCGCAAGAAGAGCAAGAGAGAAAGGTGCTATCCGAGACATGTGGCGGCGGCCACGCGCTATGAACGGACCACCTTTCCAGCTGGGGACATAAGCTGTGCGGTTAATGCAAACATACAATACACACATTCCATCTCCCATGAGTCAAGAACCCAACATCACCTGCGCCCGAAGTCGCATGACCCATATCACCCGGACCGCTCCACGTCAGCAGGGCTCCCAGCCGCCAGCTGAACGGCCGTCAGCGGCGGCCGTATCACAGGCAGCGGCCAGTACGGCCGGCCGCCGGCGGCCACACGCGCTCGACAACAGCCAGACCGCCGAAAGTCGGGCCGGCGGACCGCCCCGCTCAGAACACGGACGGGTGCGAACGGCGAACCCGGTGGGACGGCACGCGGGACGCTCGTGCTGCGAGATCGCAGCGCCGTCAGCAGGGACACGATCACGCTTGGCATGGGCGATCGGTGTTCAATGAACGGCATTAAAACTCGTAGTCGATTGCACCTAGTTCACTTCGGCTAAAAGCTGTCGAACCAACAAAATTTGCCTAAAAGCAGCCCACTTAGGTTGTAAAACTGTCCAGCTGCAGGTAAAATAAGCTGCGTTGACATGGCACACATCCATTGGCTACGGTCCAGGCGGCGAAAGCCATCCCACCAACGACTCAACTACCAGCGACCAACAGAGCTCAATAGGCCTGACCCAGGACAAACGACCAGAGGTTCTGGTATCGGAACACGCCACTACAAAGAGGCGCAACAGCCCCACGCCGACCTTACAGTGCGGTCGACACCACGGCTGCGCAAGAGGACATACCTGGTGCACGGGCGTAACAGCTCGAGCGTCGGTAATAACACGACCAGAGCGCCAGCGCGCACAGCAGCTACTCCAACGGCTGCTCTAACGGCTGCTCCAACGACTGGTCGACCAGAGCTGCCAATGTCCTGAAGTGTTTCAGACGCCAAGCTGGTCCATGGCCTGCTGACTCCACTGCTTGTTCAGTCGTCTACGAGCCACCCGACTTCGCTCTGACCAGCCACACTTCCCGACCATCTCAGAATCCCCCTCCCCCTCCCAGTCAAGCCCCAACCACCCCGCCTCAATTGATCTCAAGCTACTGCCCGTCTTGTGCAAAGAGCGCCTTGCAGACACGTCATGGCACTGCCCTTCCCGGCGACGGCAGCGGCGCCGCGCCTACTGGTCGTTGAGCTCCATCTCGACGCCGACCATGGGCACGCGCTCGTCAAGCACCATGCTGCCGGCGTCGGCAGCGTCGAACACGACGGCAGCCGCCTCGGCGAACAGCTGGTCGGAGAGGGCGCGCATGCCGGGCTGCGGCGAGTCGGGCCGGTCCAGCAGCGCCGCGCCGGCCGCCTCCTCCTCGCCGCCGGCCGCCGACGTTAGCGTCACGTGCTCCAGCAGCCGGCAGCCGCTGGCCGTGTCGTCGTCCTCGAGGAACGCGTCGTGACGCGCCACCGGCGGCGGGATGGCCGGGCTGAAGCCGTCCTCCTCCTCTTCCTCTTCCTCCTCCTCCCCCTCTGGTGCCGGCTCCGGCGAGAAGCAGCGGCTGTCGGGCGGGGGTGGGACGTCGGACAGGAGCGGGGCGCGGCGACGCGTCGTCCAAGGGCGGACGGTCGTGGGGCACACACCGGCCTGCACAGGGCTTGCATCAGTGGCTACCTATGTCTACCCGCGAGTCAAATCCTTTTATAGGCTTACCAGGACGCCCAACATATATTCAACCCCTCCCGCGGCACAACCTTCGGCACTCGTATGTCGGAGCCTACTGACCCCGATTCGCAAATCCCCGCTCAGCTCAACACCGAGCGGCGCCCGCTGAGATGAGCCGGCCGTCCGCCGACGTTGTCTCACCGGTCAGCGGGGAGCGCGGCGGCCGGCGGCGGCGCCGCCAGCGCCAGCAGCAGCGTGGCCGAGCGGCGTCGGTGCCGGCGGCGCCGGTGCTGCTGCAGGTTCTGACGCGTGAGGAATCGGCGCGGACAGTCGGCGCAGGCGTGCGGCCGCTGCGCCGCGTGTGTCTGCCGGTGCCGCAGCAGGCCCGACAGGTAGGCGGCCGAGTAGCTGCACTGGTCGCACGCGTACGGCTTCAACCCTGCGGGCGAGGCGGCGGCGTCAGCGGACAGCAGCGCGACTAGCGCCAACAGTGACAGGGGAAGACCACATCACTATACGACAGACGGCGGGGCGGGCGAACAGCAAGGTCTGCGGCACAATCGAGACATCATCAGACGCCGGGCGCGCCGCAACTCTGGGAAGAGCCGGCGGTTCCATTCAGCCTGAACTCCAACAGCTTCTCCCGCGTCAGGCCTTGTATTGCCTTGTCAGTCCGAGACAAACGGAACAGTGCAGAGCGACGTCTGGTGCAGTGTGCCGTCTGATGCAGTATGCCGTCTGATGCAGTACGCCGTCTAATGCAGTGTGACGCCTAGTGCAGTGTGACGTCTGATGCAGTGTGGCGCCTGGTGCATTGTGACATCTAATGCAGCGTGACGTCTGGTACAGTGTGGCGCCCTGATGCAGTGTGACGCCTGATCTAGTGTGGCGTCTGATGCAATGGGACGTCTGATGCGGTTTGACGCCTGATGCAGCGTGACACCCCACTCACCCTTGTGGAGCATGGCGTGCACACGCAGCTGTTTGGGGTGTCGGAACCGCTTGCCGCACACGTCGCAGAGGCTGTCGCAGGAGGTCGAGTGGGTGCGCATGTGGTCGGCCAGGTGGGAGCTGGTGAGGTAGCGCTTGTCGCACACCTGACAGCGAAACCGGCGGCCGTCTGCGCGCACAGGCCCAGGCCCGTCACAAGCTGTGCCAATACCACCACGGGATGTGACGTGGGGGACGTGTACACCCGTCTGTCGCGGCGAGGTCCCACTCCGCCACGGCGTCGAAGGCTCCTGCTGCTGGAACGACAGCTTGGAGCAGCCTGGACAGAATGATCGACGTCCCCTCTGGTCACACGCCTCGGCCGTCGCCGACGCCACGCGGCGATGTCCACACCCACTGCACAGCCCCCCCCCCCCCCCCCCCCCCACCCACAACCCCCAGTACGACTAAAACGGTCCAGAGGCGCTCAGTCAGCGGCGATTGCGACCAACGAAGCGGACTGCAACACCAGCCTCTGCTTATGGTTAAATGTGCTGTCTCGCTTGTACGGTTAAATGTGCTGTCTCGCGGTGTGAGTTTTTATGCCATATGAGCTCCATTCGCAATGTTCTTCGTTTGCAATGTCAGCGACCTGCCAAGTTAACTAGTCACAGACAAGAGAGACTTGCCCACCTCATTAGCCTGGGAACCGACCGCATCCCCCCACACGCACGCACGCACGCACGCACGCACGCACGCACGCACGCACGCACGCACGCACGCACGCACGCACGCACGCACACACACACACACACACACACACACACACACACACACACACACACACACACACACACACACACACACACGGCAGGGATCAAGGCCCTGAACACGGCCGCCTCTCACCTCCTGAGTGCGTCAGCACGTGACGACTGAGGTAGTTCTTAGTGGCGAACCCCTTGCCGCACTGGGCGCACGGGTGCGGGCCCATGGTGAGCCGGCGGCGGGCCGCCCGCTCTCCTCTGCCGGGCCCCGAGGCCGCTCACCTCTGCGGGACCTGCCGGGCGGGCCACACGGCCGTCTCAACATACCAGGCCGCACCGGTCACACGGATCGCCGCACCGATGACGTCACGTGCCACCGGGGCGACGACACGGCCTGGAGGAAGCCGGCCGCGGACGATGGTGCTCCAGTGGCACTGTACGCGCGCATGTGCGCTATCACTGCGATACCGTTTCGCATAGCTGCACAGCATCACTGATTCCACCTAACGTCCTCGTAGCACAAACATTGCAGAATCGACGCACACATCGCAGCATAAACCCTTGATTCCGGCTACCTGACCGGATCGATCCGCCTCACATGTTGGGGACGGTGATTTACTTGGATCGATCCGTCTCACATGTTGGGGACGGTGATTTACTCGGATATATCCGTCTCACATGTTGGGGACGGTGGTTTACTTAGTCCACCGTTCTCGTTGCGTACCTGAGACTTTCATCGCCGGCCGGCCCGGCGGATAACTTCACGGGCGCATCAACATCGAATTACATTTAGCGCTCCTCCGGAGACTAGCCAGAACATCGCATTATTAGGGGGTTCCTTTTGTAGGCGCGAACTTAAGCGCAGTCACAAACCACACAGTTATGTACCGGTGTCCCTCAGCGTCGTGCCGCAAAATTTTTACAGCCTGAAAAACGCTGAAGGTCAATGTTGTAACGGTTTGAAGTGGTAGGTGGTAGGAAAGTGTGTTACGTAATATGGTATGGTGATCTGTGACTAGTCCCTACAGCACAGCTGGTAAGAACTGCCCGGCGCAGTCTTCGCCGTGGGCCTGGCACGTGACGAAACTGTGCTCCACCGGACAGACATTTTTCTCGATAACGTTACCTGGCGTGTGTATTGCATGAAGCAGATGAGGTGAGGGACACAGGCATGCCTTCTCTCATCACCCGCTTGGCGTCATCGGTGGCACGCGAGCTCCCCCACAACCAAGAGGCTGCAGCAGCCAGACCCGGCCGCGGGTCAGCGGGAGAGACGCTCAGCAAGGTGGGGTGGGACAGAGACGGCAGCGCCACCTACCTCACCTCGAGAACCCCGGTCAGTGGATGTAACACACATGGGTCAAGGTGCCAACGACAAAGTCTGATTTGCTGAAAAGACACAACCTTTCAGGACTCAATGCATAGCGCATTTTCAAATAGAATTCTTTTCGGTGCTGTGGTGTATTTTTGAGACCTCTGGGGACCAGGCTTCCTAGTGCTTTCATTTTTGACAGGATGCGTATCGTGATGCGTATAGGGAATTTCCCAGTCATAATTCAAAGTGACTGCGGGACTCAATGGTTTTTTGGAAGATTTATCCATCGCTTGATATTGAACGTTGTCGATAAAAGCTCTTCGGACTTTAAGGCGTTTCGCGGACTAGGATGGTCTTTGGCGACTAAAGTAGTGAAAACTGAGCAAATTTAAACGACATATCAAGAAACTACGAACACACAGTTGGGACCACGTTCCGTACATTGTGAGTTTCAGTTCTCCGGCAAAAAGTCGAATGGAAAGTCAAACGATAAACTCCCACGAAAAAAGTCGAACGACAAAAAGTCGAAGGGAATACAAATCAGCAAAGATAAAAGTCGAATAGGAAAAAACGAACAGTCGTAAGAGATCGGTCGCAAGGGATAAAAGTCGAATCGGAAAAAGCCGAAGGGCAAAAAACCAAATGGATGAAGGACGACAGGAAAAAAGTCGAACAGGAGAAAGGAGAAGGAACAAAAAGCCGAATAACGGTCAAATAGAAAAAGTCAAAGGACAAATACCACACGGAGATAACCGTGGAAATAAAATGAGCCGAAAGACAGAGCACGGACAGGGATAAAGGTCAGCTCGGATATGTCAAACCACCAGAAGTCAAAACGCTTTAAAACGGAAAAGTGATCCGGAAATAGCGCCTGGAGTGAGAGGTGCAACAGCTGACGGAACACGATGTGATCTCACGGGACTGGGCGAAGCATGATGTTATCAGACCAGGCCGGGTGGGGGGACCAAACACATTTTAGGATAGCCTTCGGCGCTTGCTGCTAAGGCCTAAATACGCCAAATACGTTGCACGTTGGGGAAGAGGGAGAGGCAGCAGGGTAAACATGGGGGCCGCAGGACAGCCGGCGGTGTCAGTTGTGCGACTGTGTCGACAATAATCCTGCGTGTACATTGTGATACCGCCAAAACACCTACATTATGTAGACCGGTTCCAGACGTAAAACCATGGCGCTTGATATCAGATAGGAAAGCCGTTAGAAGCTTCGGTTATCCTGTTAGGGGCGCAGTTTCGCAAAATGAGTAAAGGAGGGGGCAGAGCGGTGCAAAATAAAGTAGCCTATGTTCGAAACACTCACAAATGGATTTACCACGAATTCGATCAAATTTCTTCCCAAAGCTGGGAGCCTCCCCCACTGATTAGGAAACCACACCCTCGCGTTCGGCATCACGTGTTCAGAGTTCCTTTGCTAAGAATACTGACATGCAATATACCAGCAAGTGCGGCAAACGACGTTATAGAGCAAACATTTATTATATTGTCAGTCCTCGGCGTTTCAAGCTGTGCTTATGATAACGAGGGTGCCACCATAAACACTCAACAGTGACTTCCTTCCGGCTTTTGCCCCTTAGGACCTACTTCTTTTGACTTTCCTTCTTTGACTTATTCCTGTCGACCTTCAATCATTTAATTTATTCAATTCGACTTTTTTTATCCCTGGCGGCTTTTTGATCCTTTGGCTTTTCCCGATTAGACTTTTCTCCCTGCCGACAATTATCCCTGTCAGTTTTTTCCAATTTGACTTAATCGCCCGTCGCATTTTTCCCCTTGCCTTTTTGTCTCCCGGCCTTTCACCTGCTGCCATTTTGTCGTTAGACTTTTTGTCCGGACACTCGGAGTTTCATCGACGAACTCATTCGAGCGCTACCTTTTGATTTGCTATCAACGTGAAAATAAGCATGTCGACCAACGCAAAAATACGAAAATGAGAAATGTAAAGTCAGAGCGCAACCCGCATTCGCCCGTCCGAGTTGCGCATGGAAAGTATTTTCGATAGCATAGCGCACTAGTTAGCAAGTACTTGTTTAACCAGCTCTACATCAATAATGACGTGTTGTCGCGCCATAACTGTAACAGACGTAGCCGGCCGCCGCCGCTGCCTCGCGCGGCCAGCGTCCTTAACCCGCGTGTGTTGGTGGGGTCACGTCCTTGCGTCTCTCGTCTTGCGCCGGCCGTGTCAGTCACGGCTTACCGCGACCTTATATAGAGTTAACAGGAGCTGTGGTAAGATGAAAATTCCTTCAATAATTGTGGGGTGCTTTTTGGCTCAAATTGTGGCTGAAGACGTCGAGACGTCCTCCACCAAGCAGTACACCTCAGAGGATTTTGACAGCAAAATCCAGGAGAACAACCACTTTGTTAAGTTCTTCGCACCGTGGTGTGGGCATTGCAAACGTCTGGCCCCCACCTGGGATGAGCTTAGTGAAAAGTACAACCAAGCCGATGACAGTGAGGTCACCATTGCCCGTGTTGATTGCACCACTGATTCAACAGTTTGCTCAGCCCATGAAGTAACTGGCTACCCAACACTGAAGTTCTTTGGCAAGGATGGTGGTGAGCCTGTCAAGTACAAGGGGGCAAGGGACCTGGCATCACTAGAGAAATTCATCAAACAGCAGCTGGGCCAAGAAAGTGAGGGTGAAGATGAGAATACATCAGTTGAAGTTCCAGCCCCTGTAAAGGGTCTCATGGAGCTGACAGGAAAAAATTTCAAGACAGCAACAGAGAAAGGTAACCACTTCATCAAGTTTTATGCACCATGGTGCGGTCACTGTCAAAACCTTGCGCCAACATGGGAAGCTCTGGCAGAGTCTCTTGAAGATGATGCATCTGTGAACATTGCCAAGATTGATTGCACAGCTGACAGAGAGACATGCTCAGAGTTTGAAGTCAAGGGGTATCCTACCCTCCTTTGGATTCAGGATGGAAAGAAAGTTGGCAAGTACCAGGGAGATCGATCAGCAGAGGATCTGAAGAAATTCATCTCAACAATGACTGGGTCCACTGTCAAGTCTGAAACAAAAGAGGAAGATGCTGGCAAGGCCCCAGTTGTGGTTTTGACTGCTGATACCTTCAACAACAGCATCAGCAGAGATTACACATTTATCAAGTTTTATGCCCCCTGGTGTGGACACTGCAAAAGGCTTGCTCCTACATGGGATCAGCTGGCTGTGAAGATGCTGGGAAACCCAGCGGTGAAGATTGCCAAGGTTGACTGCACTGAAAATGACAACAGGCCACTCTGCTCTCAGCAGGGTGTATCTGGGTTCCCCACTGTGATCTTGTACCATGATGGTGCCAAAGTCGTGGAGTATGAGGGCAACAGAAGCCTTGATGACATGGCCAATTTCATCAAATCCAACATGAAGCAGAGCAAGGATGAACTGTAAATGTAAGACTTAGAAACTCACACATTTTGGCATGCTCCCTTTGCTGTTTATGTTGTACCCAAGTCCAAGTGCTGACTTTGTACTTATTGGTATCTTGGTGAAATCATGTATGTGTATTGTACTTTGGATAAGCCTGGTAATGTCTTCAGTGTGGACCGGTTTCCCACACTGGTAAATTAGTGATGGTGGTTTGGGAGAAGTTTGACGCCCCAAATGTTTTGTACAAGTGCATTTCATGACATGTTTTGTGGGGCAACACATCTTGATATCACAAAAAATTAGCTGTGGTGCTTAGTTACATTCCCAGCTCCATTTGGCTGGGCCATGTGCATGTGTGGAATTATGACTGTGATGAATTCCCCAGATACTCACACATTTTGGTTGGTGAGTGACAGTTATGCCCATCAAAAGTTTTTCCACTGTAGTCATGGCATTGTTACCCTGGATGCATAAGGAAATAAATCATAACCTGTGATGTGCCTCATGGATTTGAAATGATAACCTATTTGACACAGTTAGAAGCATATGCTTCCAGTGCTACACCATTGGTGTTGAGCCCATTCCAATTGGAATGAACATGGCAGGCTAACAAACTTAACCAGCAACTTTACTCTTCACAAGCCGGAGGTGCCATCCCTCAGCCAGCTTGACACTGCTGGCTCCAGTCGGTGTGTTATCACAGAGGAGTGCGCCTCCAGGCCCACAATGACACTTTGCCGTGTGTGTGTCACTGGTGCGTTACGACGTGCTCAGCTGCTGAGGCTATGTGGCGTCGTCTGTCTCTCAACCTGGCAAGAAGGGTGGGGAATCGAACCGCGTACCTCTGGTTTTCCAGACAGGCAGTGGTTGATGCAGGCTCGTTAACCACTACATTATCGGCACCCTGACACGCTTTGCCCGGGGCAGCTCGGGTCTGCTTCATCACAATGCCACTGCCTATCTCTCACTTCACGTCCATGATTACATTAAATCAGTGGAGCGGGACGACGCGACATTGGTTCGCAGCCACCAACTGTCACCGGTTTGGCGGCCACCAACTCTGCAATGAAAGCTGTTTGTGACATTGGCATATGTCAAAGAAGATTCCAGTTCTTTCTGGGTTTCACGAACATAGTTGTTTTTATAATCTTGATGCAGGAGGAAAAACCGCTAGTAGTGGTGCTCTAGATTTGTGTGCCGTAAAATCCCATCGTGAAATGCCAGGGATAATTTTGTGCAGAAAGCTTAACATACCTGCAGTGCATAGCAGCATGGTGTGCCCAGTCACATGAACCTTATTTGATTCAGCAGCCGCTATTACCAGCTGCAGACTGTCCTAGTCGGGGGTAACTAGTGTTTGTGAGGGCGTGGCAGCACAGGTCTGCCCAGTCACATGAATCTTATTTGATTCAGTGGCCGCTATTACCAGCTGCAGACTATCCTAGTCAGGGGTAACTAGCGCTTGTGAGGAGCAACTCAAACACTCACCTCTTCTAATCGATTGAGCCATGGGCAGACGAAATTATCGGATGGTACCCATCTAACAGCATTCATGATAACAGCACAACAAATTGAACAGTGTGGGGTAAGTGGGTGATGTATAATGTGAGCATTGTGAGATGGCACATTTAGATGTCAAAAACCAAGCTAATGAGACCACACCAAGCAGACATGTTCTGCAGTGCAATCAACAGCTTAAATACACATACAGGTGGCTGAACATGAGTCTGATCAGACCTAGATAGTTTCAATAATTGTGGGCAAAGCATTGCCCACATAGCATATGATTTGGATGGATATTATCTAAAATGAACAAACCCAAGTACCTGCAAACTGTTCTCAGCCAACTAACCTCAGTTTAATACACCACATCTTGTATTGTCTTGTTTTCAAGATAAAATTTAGGAACATGACACTGGGTGCACTGCAGCAGATTACTGGCACATATGGGTCAGCTATTGAGCTGCAGGAGGCACAGCCACCCACACAGTGCAGTTGGTGTCACATTTTCATGTGTTCTCATTGGTCACTGATAGGTATCTGACCTAAATCCTTCAAAAAGTACTTAAAATGGGCATACCCATGGCTTGTACATTAAACCAGGTAGTCTGTCATACACCCAGAATCATATTCTTTCTATACTGTTGTTAGTTTTTTCCTACATCACATTATTGGTTGCTAGTGCACAAACTAATCCAGGCTAGACTGGGCCTCCATCTTTCTCAGTCAAAGAGTTTGCCTTCCTTGCATTTTGTCAAGTGCCTATTTGACACTCACTTCACCTGTAACATAACCTTCTTGTATGTAATCAAAGCACAAAATCATGCTATGCTTCCACACATGTTACCTGAATCCACTCTCAGGTCCTAACACTTATACAACCAATGTCATCTAGAAAGTGGCAGGGAGTGTAAGCCAGTATATGTTTGCCCCATGGTGGTACACTAATGTGCCTGTGCAAACAGACACATTCAAATTAGTTAAAATGATATATAACAGAAAGACTGTAGGGAAAAGATACATACCCTAATTAGAAAAGCAAAAAAAGAAATGTGGCAGATGCAAAATCAATGTTGAACCAAAAGATGTTAAGCTCAATACGAGATAGTAAGTTTAGGAATTCATACTTTTCCATAATGAATATGATGACTAATGGCTGAAGCACAAAGACGACTTCACTACATGCTGGGAAACCTAACCTGCACTCAATTACCGAATTGCTCACATTTTTTCCCTATCAAACACTGCCATCTTCTACATATTGTCATCTCATCTGTGATTCTTCTCCCCAATGAATTTTTCATATTCTGCACACCATTTGCCATTTATCAGTGGAGGGAGCAAACTACATTCCTATAAACTGATTCTAGAGGCTTTGAAGCCAGATCAGTATAAAACATGTTTTAATATGCCACAATCAACATAAGACAGAAACTTGGCAATAATGGCCATTTCATGGGTGTAAGCACAACAACAAAGTTTTAAAGGAAGCCACACATTTTGTCAGTCAAAACTGTCTACCACAGGGCCCATTTGCTTACCTTTTCCTCGAGGTTGATGCTTCAAGTTTGCTTTTTTGCTTTTACCCTGCTGATTTAAGATCATAGGAATGAAATGGCAAGCCAGGAGGGCAGAGGCTAACAGCCCAATTTTTTTAAGTGTTGTATGATTAAATTTAAGCATGGTCTAATATTTCAGTTCATGAAGAAAATTGCTTGCAACGGTGCTGCACCACATCGCCCATAAATACTCCCAACTGTACGTCGTCCCTACGCGCTTTCAGTGGTAATAATTGATTCCCGTGGCTCTAATATACGTGAAAACGCATAACAAGACTTTGGCTATTTCGGGTAATCCAAGTTAATTTTGACAGAACACGGTTTACTGCCACTACCGCCGGTACCCCTTCACTCAATGTTTTGCTTCAAAAACCAGGAACACGGGGATGTTAAGATCACACCCATTCTCAAAGTATGTGTTAATTTAGTTGTTTAAACCCTCTGACATCTTCGAACTAAATTTGCGGCATTTATGGCGTTGTTGCATGTTTGCCGAGTGTGCCCAGTGTACAAAAGTGTGTATTTACAGATATGTGCCCGGGGGTCGCGCGGTCGTGTGCTGTAAGGCGCTAGGCGTGTGTGCAAGGGCGGTGCAAGTGGAAGGCGTGAACATAGCTGTGGTGACAACTCGACTACAACAGGAGGGCGTAAGCGAGGCAACGGAAACACTGGGCGGAAGTGGGGCAATAGAACACCGGGGAAGTAGGGCAATGCAATACAGGGCGGAAGTGGTAGATGATATGGACCGGCGTTTTATTCGACAACAAAACGATGGTTGCGTGGGTTGTATCCCTGTAGTGATAATGGCCGCATAATCAGTTGTGTGTGATGTTAAACTGTGTGACTGGAAAACTGAAGAATATATAGGTGCATGCTTACTTAATTTTGGGATATAAGACTAAACAGGCACTGCATATGAGCCAGTCTGAAAAAATCCATCCTTTGTACCAGACATTTCTGTGACATTAGTGTGCTGGAGGTGGAGCATGTGCACACCAAACTTACACCACACCATGTTGCAACACATTTTGTAATTATTTTTGCACACAAATTTCTAGATTGTATGGTTGCTTGATTTTTCTTTGTAGCATCATAAATCCTTGAAACCTTGATTCTCTATGTGTTGGAATAAGTTGTGCTGCTATTGTATCAGTTAAATTACCACCATGACAGACACCTTTGACATCACATGTTTTTCCAGTTTGACATACAAGATCAAGGACAAGTGAGAGGTTGGCTAACACCTCAACCATTTTACTCAAGGTGTGTGTGTGTGTGATGTAAGATTGATTAAGACAGTTGATGCAAGCTGATGATACATTTATTGCTTGAGGCCATCAAGCACATGCCTATTTTGCTTATTGTCTTAGGGACAACAAAGCTCTTGGTGAACAGCTGGGCCCAAACCCCATGGCTTCCATATTTGCATGTGTGGGCCTTCTTTTAGAATGAAACCTACATGAAATATTTCATATGGAGCAAGCAACACCAGCAATATTCATCTGACTGGGTGTATGTGCATATCACTTGCATGCTTGTGACATAGATGACAGCTTGGGAAGGACTTATTTGCCTATAAAGAACAGCCCTTTGAAGTGACATCCCTAGATGGTAGGCAACTGTGATAGTTGATGGTTTTCACTTCTTCACACTTTATGAGTCACACTTTTCAAGGCATAAGGTTTGTACAAATTGCCAAGATTGAGCTACCCTGGCCATAAATGCAATCTTGCATTGATTGTTAACCTTAATATCAATGTTACTGTGAAGTGGCGGCAGCATGAACTTACATCTATCTGTGACTCAAGCACCCCAGCAAATTTTCATGTACCTTTCATGCCATATTTGAGTTCAGTGTTTTTGGTGCTGCTGTTTTATTGCTTACATCATTGTTTTTTAATGTTGGGGGTGGTTTTGGTTTTGGAATGTCTCAAGATCATCTGTGTGATATAGGCAATGATAGAGCAACTGGGGCAGCAGCTTTATAATTCTGATGAGGCCTAGTGTTTACTCTTCCTGCAGCAGATGCAATTTTCATTAACCCAGTGCTAGTAACCTTGCTGCCTGGTACATATTGGATTGAAAAGTTTGTTAGACTTTGGCTCTCCTGCCTGCCTGTTATTATGCCTGTTGGTTTTGTGGTGTATGAATGTGATCACCTACATTATGTTTCAAATGTAACTTCTGTGTTTCAGGCAAATGGCTGAATCTGGTGATACAAAAGATGTGAAAGATAAGGTAGGCATTACACACCAACATGTGTGGAGAACTGTTCACCATGGTCTCCAGGCCTGTGGTAGTGACTGGGTTGTCACATAACTCTGTGTCTTTTCTTTGACCTCCCTTATGCTTGCTAGTCAAGTCATCAGCCCAACACATGTTACCTGCAGCTCTGCAGCACACTATGTCCTGTATTATTCCTCACTGGTGTAAGGTGGCAGTCACACATGCTGAGATCATCCCCAGCCATTTGCTAATGTGACCAAGCAGCAACACTTCATCTCACCTGAAAGCAGGCACCTTATATGCTTAGCTGAAAACATGCATTTTTTGGTTTGGAGGGAAATGTCCAGTCCTGTGGCTACCATGCACTACATAACTCAATCCACCATCAGGGATAAGTAATAATACAATGCCAATCAGTGATGCATCCTGTACTGGCAGCTCAGCTGACCCATGCTTTCCAGGCAGAGTCAGCAGGTGGGTCAGAAAGTGAACAGATCAGTCTCAAGGTGATGGGACAGGATGGTTCTTCCTTACTCTTCAAGATCAAGCGTCACACACCGTTCCGCAAACTCATGGTTGCCTACTGTGACCGCATGGTGAGGCCCTGCATTGGATGTGCATGCTGCTGCACTGCATGCCCAGTGCATGCATTGGGTGTACAAGGTATGCATGCTGCTGTGAATTGTTTGCAATGTGAGCGATCAACATCACTGCTTTTGAAAGTTGGTTATGACCACATTCCCTCAGAAAAAAGAATTGTGCTTAGTTTTGATGATCTAGAACATATGATAACACATCCACGTTCCTTTTCTGTTCACTTCATGCGTCTCAATAATCGCCTCCTGCCAGCTGTCGACGGCCACTCGCATGCAACGCCGCGGGCGTCCGCCAAGCGTTCCAGCGATATCAGCCGCATTCTGCCCGTACCCGTACCGTCCTGACTATGACTGGATAGGAGGACTTTCGCTCCCACCAGCCGCCTCGGCACGCCCGACCCTGACGCCCGGCCCCGCCCGCAGAAAATGTCGCTGCACACGGTACGGTTCCGGTTCGACGGCGAGCCGGTGACGGAGAGCGACACACCGCTGACCCTCTCGATGGAGGACGGCGACGCCATCGAGGTGTTCCAGCAGCAGACGGGCGGCGCGTGAGGCCGCCGCGCGCCGGCCACGGGTGCACGCTGAGCCGGCTCGGCCCGTGCCGGAGCGCTTGGCAGCCGCCGACGGCGCGCGCGCGGCTCAGCTGGCAGTGGCGTACGGCGCGGTCGCGCGGCTCCCGCACCGGACGGGCCCTGTTTGCCACCTGTGACGGACGGCGCGCGGCGCGGGTGTCGGCACGTGGTGGTGATGGGCCTGCGAGCCGTGCTGGGAGGGCCGGCGCTGGTCCGTGGTCGCCGTCGGGTGGCAAGCGAAAGCGTGAGGAGCGGGCAGACATCGGTCGACGGTAGGAATCGTGCCGGCTCCTGGGAGCTCGCCTGTCTCGGGGAAAGTTACAGATCGTTGAAGGCAGCATTGGGAATCGGACTCTTAAATGCTGGACGCGACGATCCCTGGTATGAAGGGTATTGTCGGGGCCGCCGTCTGGCAACCGTTAATTCGCCATAATTTCTGCATTAGTCCTAAACCTGTCTCTGCCACGGCGCCTCGCCGTCTCGTCGCAAGATCATGTATGACATTAAACGTAACTCGAAAGACGCAAAACATACCCCGGCAGCTGGGATGTTTGGAACCCGACCAAGCGCCCATGGAGACACCAGGCGATGCCATTGTGTCAAGTACCTGATGTCAGGTGGGTGAGGAACGGCTGTTGGTGTTGGACAGCCGAGCACTTGTTGGTGATGTCGGACCAGTGTGGACACGGTGGGTGGCGCGGCACACGCTGATGTGGCGTCAGTGAGAGTGTTTGTGTGGAAGGCGTCCCCTCGCATCGCATTTTTCATCCATTGGCCCATTTGTAGGATGCATTCTTGCGCGCTGCGAAGCTCGGCGCAGAGAATACACGTTTGTATCATCAGAAGCGCAGTCATCAAGGAAGGTGGGTCAGTGAATGGGATGTACGGAGCTGGCGCGGCGCGAACTTCCGAAAAGACCAGGCTTTCAGGAACAGAAAACGCGATGCTGATTTTCTGCACGATCCGCAACTCATTTCGTACTGCTGTTGGCTGTTTAAACTCAGGGACGGCTCTTGAAATACCGCAGTGGGAACCAAACGCACCTTAGAGCGGTCGATTGACATAGGAAACGTGCAATGTGCTTGTCGCGAAAATAGGTGCCATACTGGCGAAGACCTGGCCACTGATACCAGACGTCGGCGATCCGACATCGCCACGACAGAAGCCTCGCACATTCTAAACACGGAAGAGCAGACGCACGGGCTGACGGCGTGGGTCGAGTTGTGCAGCCGGTGAAGCAAGCCGGCGTAGGACGTGGATTTACCCGTTTTGTGGCGATTTTAAGAACTGGGTAGGTCGCAGCAGCCGGAGCAGGGAACAACGTGGAACCTGACACGTTGGCCAGCGTACCATGTACGGATCGCAGCGGTATCAGATGTATGATACGTGGTGCGCCGGCGACTGGCCAGGGAGCATCCGCTGTTACCTCCAGAAACGGACCTCGAACCCAGCACGCACTAGTCGAAGCCAGGATAAACTGAGTCATTGAAGCTACACAGATGTGTGAGCTTCTGTCGTAATCCATTTCTAACTTTAGTATCCGCATTTTTGTCTACACTGGTAACGCTTAACAACACCGTACATCACTGCATGTTCATCGGTTTCGTCCGTGACAATGGTTACATCCCTCCCGGCTAAGAGCCAGCCCTTTATGCTACGTCGTTTGTCAGCTAGTGAGCCAGCACCACGCCGGTAGACCTCCGCCTGTTGAATTATCATGTAAAGTCGATTTTCCAACTCATTGATCAATGCTGTTTGCATCGGTCGCCGAAAGCGTCTGGCTTCATCAGTCTAGATTTTGGCAATGTGTATGATAACAACTGACAGCTACCCTATGTGATTGGGTTAGGTCTGTGACTGCATCCAGAATCGACTTCGCAAGGTGCCTCAGCTTAAACCTGGTTCATGTTGGCTTTAGCCGACTTAGAATGCCGGCAACTTTTCAAACTTACAAAACTTGTACAGAAAATGGGCATAACAGACGCATTTCCATGGTGACAATATCTACGGGCTTCCCGAGCAAGATGTGTTGGACGGCTTAACAATATGGACCTGAGATGGAACTTGGGAGGGCCACCGTACCCCCGGCGCGCGCCATGGCTGGCGGACGCCCCTCAGGTGGAAAGAAAACAAAAAACGAATATTTTTTTCTTTATTGGATATCTACCGGATCAAGGTTTTCACAAGTGACGAATGTGGAATTTGAAGTGCCAGGATGGCAGGGGGCAGCTGTGAGCCACGTAGTGTCCACAAGCCGGCCCGTCATGAGCCCCATCAGAGCGCGATGTCGTACCAGCACACACACGCAGTCACATCCCACTGGCATCAACATCAACGAAGGAATGCGGACAAACAAACGTACCTTCCCCACAAAGCTTGGCGTCAGCAAGACCACAGAACACAGAACAAGACCAGTTCAACGGGGGCTTGGTTTCTTTAGCCAGAAGTGCGCTTCGTTTCAGCTTCGCTGCACGTTGCCCCAGAGCAGCATTAATTCACCATGAGGTGTTCGAATGGCGAGGTTTGAAAAACGGAAAACTCAGAACCCACTGGAGTCGACGGCTGAAATATGGACTAAATGAGCGATGACGCGCCGCACAGCGCGACGTTACCGCTCGGAATAAGCGGGAGATCGTCCCGTCGCTGTTCGGCCCGTTTCAACAGCGGTCCAACAAGGTCATTTTCTTTCGACTGGAGAGCCTGCGTCAATGAATCGACGCGAACTGTTGCGCGACGCTCGCTAGGCAGGGACATTACGGGCCGTTACGAACGACACCTCAGTATGACGTAACATCGGAAGGCTTAAACCGCAGTGAAGTCGCAAGCCTGGTCACTCATTCGCAACGTAAATCGTGGCACGGAAGCTTGCCCCGATTTTGAAGCCGCAAAAGGTAACAGTGATGTATTATTACAACCGAACTAGTATTTGAAGACACAGGTTTGCTAGGACAATGATCGAACCCGCAAACTAATGAATGGCAACATACATTGCATCGTTGACATCGTTGACATTGTTCGTTTATCATCGTTGATCGATGACAAACGGTCAGGTCTGTCGATAAAACGTTCCGTGATGACAATCTCGGCAATGATCATAACAAGTGTCACATAACCGACACATTCACGCCATCAACCCATCTGGCGAGGTAACTGAATCACCAAATGAACAGGCGACTTGAAACGGACCGATCCACGGCGCGAGCCCCGCACTGCCGCAATTATCCCCATTTGGTTCACACGGCGCGCTCATCAGAGCAGCCCGTCTTTAAAGGCGGACTGCTCACGAGGCTGTGCAGTGAGGGGGGGGGGGCACGCTGCGGTGACCAAACGGCATACCACACAACACCGATCGTGTGCGTCAGTGCCTGCCGGTGCAACACCCATGTACGGGCGTCCTCAGTCTCGAACAACGGCCAGTCGCCAGATGCCAAAGGCCACCTGCCGGCCGCGCGTTGAACTTAGGGTTTGTCGCCCGTCGCAGAGAGGCGTGACTAGCCTTCGTTCATGGGAGCGTCGCCCGACTGCACGGCCCCGGACCGCACGCGCCGGTGCACTCCAGGGATGGGGGACGCAGAAGACTCCCGGGCGCGAGACGGCTCCTGCAAGGCATCGGGCAACGTGTCGGCGCAACGCCGCGCGCAGCATCGGAGCACACGTCTAGCAATGCTCAACACAAGTGCGATTCTTCAGTACCCCCTCAGTACCAACACATGCACACACAGCGCCGTATAAACAGGGGTGTAAATTAACGTGCTTCATTGTGGGGAGGGAGGGCATCAAGAAGATGGATTTTTTCACGGCGACAACACTCGCTGGCAGTTTCACATGTTCGTGATCGATCAAATACAAACAAGGGGGAGGGGGGGGGGGGGGCATTGAGAAGACGTATGCCTACGGCAACAACACTCGTTGGTAGTTGAATATGTCAATGATCGATCACATACAACAGGACAGGGTTAATGCGTGAGCAAGCTACATTTTCCACCAATACCACGAAAGCCTGCATCCGCTCGAGTCTTAAGCCCCAAACAACTGTGGGGTGTTTTTGTCACTTGCACTGTGATTGTGTGGCATCCGTGGCTCAACCAGTGCGAGCTGCACAAGGCGTGACTGCTGGCAAAGACGCGCCTGAATTTCACAGTCATTCACCGTTGTCTGAAGGGCAATTTTTTGCGCCTCATCTCGCCAGCACAGTATGACAGAATATATACAACATATATACAAATATAGGAACACATACAAATATAGCATTGTATTTTTTTTCCAAATATAAAAACTAGTAAATATGCTCCCCAATGAGTTCTTGTTACATTACGCCATACCTTGTACAACATTGATTAACTTGAAATTGTCCGCACGATTTTCGCAGACTTGTAGCTCACAAACTAGAGTGATCTAGGTGTTAAGAAGGGCGAGGCTATGAGCTGCGCCAAATTTTCTTCAAGATGGCGTTGAAATATTTGGAAAGTTGCAACAAAGCTATTGATCCTTTCATATCTTTCCTTCTGCTGCGAGTTCTCTTTACATCGTAACACTAATTCTGCAACGTTATCTTTATGCTGTAACAATTATGCAAGTTCCGACCCGAACACAATCACGATGAAAGCCAACTACCACATACTGTAGCCCTAATCATAACACAATTTAGTTACACTCCTGGTCAAAGGGCAAAAATGGCAATATTTAAGACGTTTAAGTTCGTCCAAGTTGCTTGCTTCATGGAACCATCATTGTCTGCTCTTTCTAGAAAAAAAAATCCTGCAACGAACAGCGCATATAGTTTCAGAAACACCTGTCTCACAACAGCACACTAGAGGTTTCCCTAGCCTCTATCCCACCATCACAAGGCCTAGAACTCGGTGACTCGGACAAACGACTCAAACCCTATAACGCATGCGTACTCCCTGTCTCGGTCCATCGTCACGGTCGCCGGAAGAGGACGGAGGTCTCCGGCCTCCAGCCCAGTCCAGGGACATCCGCCCGGCCCGCGGCCGCGCCCGCCCGCCCCAGCCGCCGGCCGCCGTGCGTCGGTCCCACTGACCGGGTGGTCGTGCCGGGCGGCCGGTGGCACCAGCGCCAGGTCGGGCCCGCCGCCGTAGATGCCCTTCAGGTAGGCCCACAGCTCGGCCGGCAGCTGCACGTGGTCAGAGCCGGGCCGCACCTGCCGCAGAGGGCCGGGTCACTGACCCGCAGGCGACACCCCACACACGGCCGGCACTGGCCACCGACCACAACAGCATCAGCATGCAGCGTTGGTCGCCAGTGATGCGCGTTATGCGTAGCTTAACACAGTCATCCGAATACGCTTAAGTGAAGAGTATGCTAGGGGATGATGATAATTGGGATTTTACGGCACGCCGGCTACGATGATCATTTTGGGCCCGTTACGATATGCTAGGGTGGCAGAGAGGGGATACAAGCGCTCGTCAGGGATTATTTGTATTATTTTACCACCTTGTTGAAAGCCCATTGCGTAGCGTAGAAGTGCTATCAGCACACCTACGCAAATGCACGACAATTTTTACAAGCCCTTCACATCTTGCACAAGTGCATGCTGAAGATGAATTAAAACAGACACGTGTTTTTGATGACAAAGTGTTTGACTTTTGAAGATTTCACATTCCTACTAGCGTGACCCGTCACATTATGCTAATTTGAGAACTATTGTACAGCTCCAACTGACAGCTATGGCATGCGTGCATGATTTTAGATGCATGACGTGAAGCTAGGTGGCTTGCAAGAAACTCAAAACAAGGTGTTTTTGTCCTAAGGCCTCTGTAGTTTTACTCTCCAATACAGAACGCCAACCGGAAATAGCCTCATAGGCTAACCATCTCTTCGTGTGGAGCAATCTGGCTGGCTCAACTCAAAGCGGTAGCAAGGCCACCAAAAGGACACATTTACTTAAGCTTTTGAAAAACGGACCCCCGCCTCCACGCCTCCCATTTGACAGACAACAAAAGCTTCCCAGATACTCCCTGACGAGCATTGTGTACCCTCTCCCCATCCAGCGAGGCTGGATTCCGTCCCGTCTAAGCAGACGACAAACCCCCTCTGCCGCTCGCGTCGCGCCAGAGACGGCTGCGCCGGCCGCTCACCTGCGCCCCACCGCTGCTCACCTGCGTCACGCCGCCGCTCACCTGCGCCGCGCCGGCCGCTCACCTGCGCCCCACCGCTGCTCACCTGCGTCACGCCGCCGCTCACCTGCGTCACGCCGCTCTCACCTGCGCCGCGCCGGCCGCTCACCTGCGCCATTCCGGCCGCTCACCCGCGTCACGCCGACGCTCCCCTGCGTCACACCGCCGCTCACCTGCGTCACGCCGCCGCGCGTCGACACGATGCCGGCGTTGTCGATGCGGCCGGGCGGCTCCAGTTCGCGGCCGCGCGCGAACGCCTCCCAGCGGCGGTACCAGGCGGCCGAGAGGGCGGCCGCCGGCGGCGCGCCACCCGCCTGCAGGCGCCGGAACTCTGTCAGCTCGCGCCGCTGCCGCGCCTGCAACGCGTCCCACTCGGCGCGGCACGGGCCACACTCGAACAGCGCGTTGGCGACGGGGCCGCCGCCCAGCGTGCCGTGCAGGTACTCCCAGCCGGCCTCCGGCAGGCGTACGCAGGCCGCCTCCACCGGCACGCGCAGGCCCGGAAGCACGCCGCCGTGTCGGCACAGGAAATCCGTGTTGTCGATGGGGCCCGGCTCGGCGAACGTGTTGAACTTGTTGATCCACTGTCGCGAGACGTAGTAAGGCAGGAGGGAGGGGTCGGCGCGCGCCCGGTGGATGAGCTCTGTGGCGCGTTGCCGGCGCAGGCTGGCCGCCTCGCAAGACTTCCTGCCAACGCCAGACGGACGGCGTCAGTGCCAGTTCATCCCCTCAGACGACGTTCCGACGAAGCCCCGCCGCAAGGCCGACACGAGGTCAAATATATGGCGGCACTGCAAACTTTTGCTAAGCAGTTCATAATATTTCATGGCCCACAATGCCATCTGTATACTGTTTCTGATGACAAAGTGGCGAAACTATATCGGAGCAAGCGCCATCAAAGAAGCTCACTGCCGAGTTCAGAAATTCGGCATGAGCTGTAGAGCAAATAAGAGTGAGCGTACGGGCGCGGCACCCACTGCAGGTTTATTACTTAACCAAGGTATAAAAAACCAACTGAACCCCTGCTGTTTTCCGCAACCAACAAAACAACGTCACATCACGTTAAATGTAACCGAATGCATCGTGCAACCGCGCCACAGGCGGCTAGCAGCGGGACTTATCGAAGCCTAACGCGTAAACTGCAGTGGAGACAGCCCGCCCAGGACACAACAGCGCCGATGTACCCCACCCAGCCGGCGGACGACTGACCTGTAGAAGAGCATGTACGCCTGACAGGACGCGACCGTCTCGGCGCTGACCTCCGTCACGTACTGGTCGTCGTACTCGTACCAGGCCCCCGAGGTGTGGTTCAGCGCATAGCCCGTGTAGTGGCCGGCGCCGGCCGTGCCGTGGTGGCACACGACGGCCGCCAGGTCGTAGGACGTCACCTGGCTGCGGCTCTGCTTGTGCAGGTAGCCCGACATGTCCAGACCCTCCAGCGGGAACTCGACGTGCGTGCCCAGCTTGGCGGAGAACACCAGCTCGTGCCGGAAGCGCTTCAGGTGCACAGTCAGCACCTCGGGCAGCTCAAGCACGCGGCAGAACTTGAGCCCGTTGCGCAGCATCTTGCAGCGGCCGCAGCTGTACATGTTGTCGCCCTTCAGCTCGTCCGACGAGAAGAACGACGCCAGGCAGTCGTGCAGCGACACGCTCGGGCCCGAAAACCACGAGGTGATCCACGACCAGAGCCAGGGAGCCCAGCCCTGCTGCGAGTAGAGCTGGGCGCAGGCGGCCGGCCGGCCCGCCGACGCCGCCTGCGTGTGCAGCACGGCCAGGTGCTCGCGGCTCGGGATCGGCAGCGACAGGTCCTGGAACGTCTCGCGCGTGGCCGATACACCGTTGCACGTGAGGCACTGCACCGACGACAGGATGCGTCCGTCGAACACGTCCGAGACGACGCTGCGGTAGCGGAGTCGTCGACCCGGACGCGCCGGCGACGGCGGCCGCGAGCGCGTCGGGCTGGGCGGCGCCTCGGCCGTCCACGGCGCCGCCTCCGACTCGGCGTCGGCGAACTCCACGTCGATTCCCGACGTGTCATCGGGCCCGCTGGACGGCGTGTCGGCCAGCGGCGGCGGCGGCGGCGGCGGCGGCGGTGGCTGCGGCTGCGGCGGTGACGGCGGAGGTGGCGGCGGCTGCGGCGAGCGCTGCGTGTGCACCTGGCGGCGGCGGCGCCGGCGCGGCGCGCGCGGCTCGCCGGCCGAGCCGCTGTCCGTGGAGCGGTCACTCAGACCCGAGTCGGCCGTCTCGTAGTCGGCGTCCTCCTCATCGCCGTCCGAGCCGGCCGAGTCGGAGGGCGGGTCGTCGCGAGCCGCGGCCGGCTCCTCCAGCTCGTCCTGCTCGCCGTCGAAGCGGCCGGTCGGCTGGCGCAGCTCCTCGTGCATCACGTCCATGAAGCAGCGCAGGAACTCCTGGCTGTCATGCTGCTGGAAGCCGCGGAACTGCGGGTGCGCCGCGCGCAGCGTCTGCAGCACGGCCGTGGGCGCCAGGCAGCTGGCGCGCCGCCGGCTCCACATCTCGTGCACCAGACGCAGGTAAGCGCGCGCCAGGCCCGGCTTGCGGTCGGCCGGCACCAGCCGGTCGCAGTCCAGGAAGTAGCGCGTCAGCGGCGGCAGGTTGGAGAGCGCCTGCAGCGCCGCGTTCATGTAGCACGTGTTGCCGATGTTTCGCAGCCCGGTGAGGCCGCACGGCGGCTCGTCCTCGCTGCGATCGTCTTCGTCGTCACTGTCGGCCGGCGCGCCGGCCACGTCCACGTTGTCGGCGCTGATGGCGGCGCCGGCGTGGCCCACGGCCGGCACGTTGTTCTCCAGGAATACCTCGGCCTCGCACACGTAGCACCAGACGCGCAGCGTGGTGATGTTGAGCACGAGGCAGTGCTGCGGCTGCTGCTGGTGGTGCTCGGTGCTGTGGTCGGCCTGGTCGCCGCAGCCCAGTCGCGTGCAGCCGTCGTGCAGGCACAGCCAGAGGTTGGGGTCCTGGCGGCCGCACCAGTGGCAGCGGCCGTCGCGGCGCCGCTGCTCCACGTCGGCCGGTGTGAGCTCGGTGCCGATGCGGTCCACGTGGCCGCACCGGCTCTGGCAGGGCGCCGACAGTGGCTGCTTTGACATTGCGGACACTGGCGGCTACCAGGTGAAACAGCAGACACTGGAAACATCATAATGTTGGACCAACAATGACATGCTGGGGTATCAGTTGGTGGGACTTCATGTGTCATTGGGGCTTTACAACGCACCCAGCTGCTGAGGCTATATGGCGTCACCTGCCTCTCACCCTGGCAGGAAGGGCAGGCATCGCAGGGAATCAAACCCCGTACCTCTGGTTGCCCAGATGTGCATTGGTGGAAATCTATTTGCCAAGGCTTTAACAGGAGTATCTTCAGTCTGTGACAGCTATTTGCAAACACATTTACTATTTCTTTATAATAATGCCTGTATAGATTGCCTACAACATCACCTGTATGACAAATGTTGCATAACAATAAAAAATTGTCCTGGGAGAAACTAACACCAAAGCATTCAAGCACTACTTTAAAGATGGGCCATAGACCCAACAAAACTACATGTTGAAACAGTTGATTTTGACACCAAGTTAGACTTGAACAAAAAGTGGGAAATTAAAGTGAATGTGAAATAAGTTAATTCAAATATCTAATATATCTACATAAAAAAGCAGCACAAAAACTAAATTCACAGCCACAGTTATAACTTGCACATGTCCCTAACATGCAAGTCATCATGTATGCTCACATTCAACTCTTCTCATTCATTGCCTATGGGGAAACAAGCAATATTCCCATCTGTGGTACATAGAAAATGATAAAACATGATGAAACAAAGTGTGCTTGCAAAGGTCTTGTGATTTGTTTTTACTAAAAAGCTTAGAGTTGTTTGCCAAAAATGTGTGAGACCACATACTGTCAGGGTGCATATCACTGCCTAATTTGTCAGATGTTTTTCCCTTTGCCATACACTTTCTGTTGTTTTCATGACTAGATTATAAGCAACACTTCCACAGGCCATGGTTTGCTCATTAGAGGCCTAAACTAATATATCTGTCAGGTTATTCTGCTACCACAAACATTTCAATATATATTTTCACCTATATTGTGCTTGTTTTGGACCTCCATAAGCATGTATCTAAAAATAAATTCCTGCATAGCCTGCATCTCAGTCAAAATGTTAAATTTTCACTGAATGTCCAAACTTTCTTTTTGTATGCTTACAATTATACAGCCTGTCCAGATATTATATAATGAATAGAAGGGGAAAATTTTATCACACATGAACAAGGTGTGAGAAGTGGAGGGAAAGGGTTTTGGGAGACCATCATTATGCTCAGATGTGATTGTAAATAAAGTCCAGGCCTTTGCTAAATCATTCTAAGACCTTGCACCTAAGGCCTTGCACTGTTGGCTTCTAACAAGCCACTTGTTAACCACATTATGCACCTATGGCTCCCATTGTGGTCAAATGGAAACTACCTTTTCAGGATGCGAAGCTTAACACAACATACCCAAGAAGAGGGATTAGACCAGCATAACCAGGTGGTAATTAGTGGTAAAGTTGAAACATGGCCAAAAACATAACGTAATCAATGAACTGCCTGCACAAGATCATGCCATGATGGTGGTTTAGATTGTGGCTGTCTCACTGTGTCTCCTGTTGTGTGGCATGAATGGTACGCACTGTAACAGTGCAAACATCACGTACAACTAATGTCAATTCCTGAATTACTATTTTCCAGCACATGATTAACATAGATACCTAATGCATTTATCCACAATGCAGTAAAGTTCAAACATTCTAAGATACCTTGAACATTTGTGAGCCAACCAAGACGCCTTCTGTTAAAAATAATCGAATCGCACGCGATGTGTTTGAGATGTGCTTGACGAACATCAAACTGTAAAAGCGAACAATAAGTGCACATCTGCATAGGTAGAGCAAAAACCAAACAGTTCTCCCTCCATCTCTTAAGTAATTCGGCATCTGAGAGTAAAAAGTTGCAATTGCTGCCCATCACACATTCTAATACGCCGACTAGTACCTTGCAACGTCCCAGGGATGTATTTCTCTATGACTCTACCCCTCTCACCACCTCTGCCCCGACCGGCGCACAACATACACACCTCCGACCCGTGTAATCTACATGATCCTTCGGTGAGGCAACCATAGAGAGCGAGGAAGCGACTGGAGATGGCAGCGGTGACTACAGTAGAGAGGTAATTTGATGACGTTGAGTACAGACTTATTTCACTCGTCGTGAGTTTATCCTTCTATAAGGCAGAACAAAGTGAAAATACGACCAATAGCAATTTTTTCACATTATAGGGGCTTATAAATTGGCCCAAAACTATGAAACTGATGTAGCATCATTCATCTGCTATATCTACCGTAAAACAGCAGCGATCCCGTTTAACCATCGTTAGGTGTATCTCATTTATCGTGTTACTGTCAGTCATATTCCAATGGCATTAAAAATATGGCCAATTCTTTGGTGAACGGACGACATACGTCCTGCTACGAGCTCGTAATAGGCAGCTTCGCTAACATCGCTAGAATCAAGGCCATATTTAGAGACTTACGCAAAAATCTACAAAACAGAGACAGCACCAATATGGAAGCCCTCGGCCTTCACTTCCGTTGCCGTGTGGGGGCGCTGTAGCTGTCTCTTCGAAAGATGCCTTCTGCGGAGGCGAAGCAGGAAAATATGGCGTCCAGCGACAGTGTCGATCCATTTCAAAAGGCTATCACATATCTCAAGTTTAAAATCAAGAACATGGATCAGAGGAAGGTAAGCGGTGGATGGTTGCCGGATCTCCCTTGAAATGTGCGTCACGTCTGTCTCATTGCGCCTTTCTTTGTGGTCCGGTTGTGCACGTGTTCCCAATTTTTGTTTTTTATGGCCAATGCTTGGTTTGTTTTTGTTAGAGCGCTTTCCTAGAGGTTATTTCTCAGATGTTTGTGCCAAGATATGCAGGTTGCCATGCATGTGGTAAATTTTTTTCTGTTATTGTTGGGTAAGTTTATGCGTTTATTCCCTATGCAGGTGTGACCTATTCATGCCATATAGGTTCCATATAGGTCAGCCATGAATAGGTAGGTACATGCATAGGTAGCAATAGTCAGATGGAAGCACATAATACTAGCAGGCTACCTTATGAATGGTGGTGTGAAGTTAGAACAAATGCTTGCTTCTTGCCTGGTATGTTGGTTTCTTGTATATTTAGCCAAAAGAGGTACCTGATTGCTGCACCAGACATGAATAAGCAGCTTGCTGGTGTTATGATCAATGTGTCAAATTGTAGGATATTACCTGAATTTGTACTGGAAGCTTGTTGATAAAAGTTGTTTCATTCAAGAGGGTTCTTGCCATATAAATTTAGATAACTAATGGAACAGTCTGAATATGTTCTAGACAAGCTGGGCAGTCTCCAGGGAGTAACATTTTTATGTGAAATTATCTTGTGTTAAAAGATATGGTGCTGGCTAGTGATGTAGTTTCACAAGATGAGTTGAGAGATGGGGAATAGCAATGACTTCCCCTGAAATATACCATAACAGGATATGTATTTCATGCACTTCACTGTGAAAGTGGTGGAGGTGGCAGGGCTGGAGCCCTTTGAATAAGCGAAAGACTTTACCCCTGGTATTGCTACGGTGAACCAGAGATGGCATATGACATTAAAAGCTATTTAAGAATGTGCAGTATGAAACTCTACAGCAGGAAATATTGAATCAAGATACCTCTAAACAGCCCAGAACAGTTGGTCAGATATCTGCAAGAAGAAGAGCCCCATATCTTGATGTTTTTTTAAACCAGAAATACCATTGTTACTTGGTCTTGCTCTGACCAGAGATGTAGTCACAGCACAAAAGTGACTGCATTGCCAAAATGTCCACTCAAATGCCCTAAACCCATAGGATATTCTGGAACTTGTATGGTAACAAATGCCTGCCTTCTTGTGGCAAAATTGGTCTCCCAGTTTGGGAACAATATTGTAATGGTAGATGGGGCTAGTCAATCCAAAGTGTACCAATATCCAGCAGAGAATTTCCAGGAAAATGTGCAATAACTTGTATGCATTAGCTGCAGCTTTGGTGCAAAATCATCCCTGCATTCCTGAAAGAATGAACTCCATATTTACCAGGCTGTAAGTACACAACAAATATAATAGTAGTAGTAGTGCAAAGATGTTATAAAGAATGAATGAACAAAAGTTATGGTTACAACCAATGACCAATGTCTCTGGAAGTTACCAATATTGTGTGCTTTAAGTTAGCTCAAGTTGATACAGTAATAAACACTGATGACTTTAATGTAGTCATGATCATCAACATTGAATTACCTGATTCAGTGTACTTTGCAGCATGGCTATCCCAAAATTGGGTTTAAAGTTGGACATTGCAGTGTTCCTACTGCTCTGAAAGAAAGAAAAAACAGGACAAAGTGTTTGGGAAGCTGCTCCCATGTAGAAGGTGCCATGGTCTAAACAATTATTTTTTTCATGATGACACCTTGATTACCATTGGAAGCTATGCATTATGAATTTTGATCATTTTTGACATGTTCTTTGATGTGTTCTTTTTGGGCATCATATGACCATAGTGATCAGCACATCCTAAAACCCTTATCACCATCACATGACCACAGATATGCTCTGTTATTGAGGGATTTATGTGGCCAGGACATGTTGCTCTGTTGATTTAGCTGTTTTGCCTACAAAAGAATGAGAGCAGAAATTAATGTTTCTATTATGCTTGCCACCCAAATGAAGAAAATGGAAGTTGGGTCTATAATTTTTTGTATGCAGAATTGTGATGATGAAATGAATGGTTTTAAATACATCCCAGTGATAAACATGATATTATGCAGGGGCAATTGCGGGAATAGTTTAGGCTGAGGAGTGCTTCAAATGTGTATGAAAGGTGTTTTGGCAAAAACCTACCTATCACCATCCATGAATGGGTACTGCATTGCACTACAAAAGGAGAGCATGTTCTTAACACAGAATGTGTTAAAATTAACAACTAAAGGATTGAGATATATGGCTTTACAGTGAGTGCGTAATGCATTGTCTCAAGTTTCTCTGCCACAACATCAGGTTCAATTTTAGTTACATCTGCTATTTGGATGATGTATCGCTGCAATATGCCTTGGTTTTAAAGTAAAATGTTTGTAGTGAAATATGTTACGGAGATAACTGCAAAGCTGGCCAGTTTTCATGGGAAAATGTTGTGATGAGGCAGCCTCAACATAATGCAAATTATAAAGTGACTTCTATGTAATGTGTGTGTTTCTGTTTCACTGCTGTCTAGAATATTCCATGAAACATTCCATTGCATCTAAAGCTCTAAGACCTTATTGCTTCATTACAAGCACCTAGACTGCATTATCATGGTATGATTCTGTATGAGCCAGCATCAATGCTGGTGTGTGATGTTTGGCAGCAGTGAAATTGTCTCTGTTGTGTGGGCTTTGATCATGGCAAGTGGAGGACAGTCCAGTGGTTTAATTGAGGCACATTATTTTATTATTTGGGAAGAAAGGTCAAGCAGGATGCAGATAGTGTGGTGATAGTGTAATGCTTAATATATCTCTAGTTAAACATTGCACATCAGGAAACCAGAGATACTGGGTTCAACTTCCAGTAGTGCAAGTAGTGTTGGCTTATGTGTAACATCTACCATGTGAGCTTTGATCAAATTCAGGTGAATGGCCATGCAGTTTATTGACTGGTGTAGTCCTTGTTCTACTTTCCTAGAGTGTCAACTTTCCCAGCATAATGTTAGGTCTAAAGGAGCACAGCAGATGTCAAGCTTTGCATATTTATAATGGAGACAGAGGCTGTGGCACACCAACAAACATTCACAAGCTGTGATCAATGACACATCACATGGAAGTGTCATTGATTGTAGCATAGGTAGAGGTGTCATGCAGGTCCAGTGGAAAACACTGTTAAGTCCTGGTTTTTGGTTAAATGATACATTATTTGGAATGAGTTTACTCAAGTTTGTTGTTGGATGTGGATTGTTTCAATTTTGTGTTCACTCACTCAGGTCCATAGACTGGGTGGATGCATATTACCTCATAGTTTAGTGTGAATAATTTTTCAAATTTTGAGATTTTCATTTTTAGTTATCACCACAGAATTACATTCACATTTAACTGAAATGCAGGCAAGCAGAACATATTCTAACATCTGGACATGACATGCCAAGCTGGTTCGAGCATGCATTTTCAGCTACCTAGCCAGCCTCAGCTATGTAGGACCACCATAGAGGAGTTCAGGAAAGTTACCAGGACATAAGCACTTCAACTGCTGACGTCATTCAATCAGTGTGGTGACAAAAATTGCGCGTGTTTTCGAGAAATTGAAACGCTCTGACATCATATCGCATCTGTCGATTCGCTGGTTTCACGATGCGCACAGGTTTGGCAAGGAAAAGGTGCATGTTTATTCAAGATTGAGATTTCCGATGTCAGCTGAGCGGAGCCGGCTTGTGCCCGCTGCGGCACCAACTGCTGATACGTCTGCTACGTGTCGCCAGTGCAACACTCGAACTCCGCTATTGACCGTGACAATCCTGTGATGTGTCTCCTGATATGGTAACCTTCGCTGAGAATAGCATTGGCATCGAGCGCCGGACGCAGATTAGAGGGGGGGCGCCCGCCGTCACCCCGTCACGCCTGGTCCGCCCGGCGAGATGGGGTGGGTGCTGATTGACCAATGCCGCGCCGGACATCCCGTGCAGAGGCGGGCCCAGGTGTAGGAACGTCGAACAGAGAACAGAGCCAATAGCCCCACTAGCAAGCCGATGATTTGCGTGCCGTGCCCTAAGGTTAATGATGCATTCCACAAAAGGTGGGGGGCTCCTCTCCAACATGAGAAGAAGGGGCCGTCCCTCCCCCCTCAACACACTCATTTGCCGATTTGGAATGGTAAACGGGGGCGGATTCGCAAGGAAGCAAAGCCCATGGCCAGGTCCTTCGGCACATGGGCGGGGCCACGCCCTAGGGACTGGGGGCGACAGAGCCGAGTCTGATGTGCATGGTTAAGACTGGACGGTAACTCCGTTAATGAAGCGAGTTGAGAGCAGTGTTGGATGTGACGCGACGTTGGGAG